CACACTATGTCAGGCAACCACCAGGTCAGAACTATAAGAGAATAGGATTGGTGGGATAATTGTTGTATTGCATTGGGCCTCATGGCTGATTATATAGAGTACATAGGACTTACGCCCCATGTGGGTAGATAATGTAGAACTATTCCTATTTACTCTAACATCCCCCCATAGTCACTGTGGGAGCACCGTAGACGGTGTGACTAGGGAAGAAGCTGACAAGCTAACTTCCCCCCTTAATCAAATTGTCGATGCGTTCACTACTACAAAATTTTTAATGGAGGTGGGCATTGCAATCGCCTCCAATCAAAGGGCATGGTTAATTGTGATATAACGGAGGTGGTTGCCCTGCCCACCTCGGTTAATCCATTAATGGTGGTGGGAATATTAGGGTGCCCGCCTCCGTTAATCATTTAAAAAAAATAAAAAAAGGCCCGAGGGAGCCCAATCGAGCCCACCGTCGAGCCCACCGCTGTTGCGTCCATGTTGCTGCATCTAGCTCGAGGCTCCCTGTCGTGGCTGGATCTGGACCCACCGTCACCGGATCTGTCCCCAGGGTGGCTGGATCTAGCCCCACCGTCACTAGATCTGGACCCGCCATCACCGGAGAAGGACCGGCCGGCTGCAGATCTGCAAAGAGGAGGGTCGAGTGAGGGAGATGAAGAGAGGAAGAGTGGGAGACAGTGAGAATTGACCTACCACCGCCACGCGCCACCCGCGTGGCCATGCCGCCCAACCCCATGCCACCGCGCGCTGTCTTGCCCCGCAACGCCACACATCCCGGCCCCACGAACCTACGCCGCATGACACACGTCGCTCGGCCCCGCGGACCTACACCACCGCATCGCCTGGCCATACACCACCGACACTAGAGAGAGGAAGGCCATGGAGAGAGAGGGACCGAAGGGAGGGAGGGAGGCACTTGTCATGCTTCTATACGAGAGAGAGAGGGAGAGCGGTGAAGAGAGAGGAACTGGAGGGGGGAGGCGCTTCTGTGCGATAGGGAGAGCGATGCCTGTGGGAGGGAGAGTGGCGCCTGTGGGATGGAAGCTTGGAGGGAGTGGCGCCTGGTGTCTAGTTATGGTTTTCATTAGTTTATATACTTGACACTAGGTATTGGGCCCAGAAACAGTAGCAGGCTGGGCCAGATTTTTGGAGGCAGGCCTTATAAAATAACCGCCTCCAAAAATAGCATTACAGAGGCGGTTGTCTTAGGACGTCCGCCTCCATAAATGGACTATTTTTGGAGGACTGCCTCTGTAAATTAATTTTAGGAGGCGGTTGGTCTTTTACCGCCTCCGTTAATCAATTTTACGAGGCGGGCAAATGTGACCGCCTCCGTAAATGAAAATGACCGCCTCCGTTAATCGCCTAGTATTTTTGGAGGCGGTTAGATTTTGTGACCGCCTCGGTTAATGTTTGGGCACTATCTTGCAAAATCATTTGTGTAGTAGTGGTTGTGTATGGTGTAGCTGGAGGAGAAGCCGATGAGTCCTCATGCAAGACGGTAGCCCTTTGTGCCTATGTCAAGAGGTAGCCAAGCATGATTGCGGAGGAGCCATGATCAAGGATGTCGTGCTGGAGATAGCCATGGTTGACATAGCGATCGAGGTAGCTGATGTCGAGGCTTCCGCACATAAAACTGTGGGCACAAAGAGGCACCATGGTGATGGCAGAGATGCATTGAGGTAGTCGTCGTGGAAGGGGGCGATGCCGAGGTCAGCGTAGTCAGGGCCAACGAAGACGTAGATGAAAGGTGATAATGCAATTGAGGCAGACGGGGTGGGAACAGGAGGGTCGATGCCGAAGTCGATGTAGTCGCCACCTGAACCGAGAAGTAGGCTAGGTTTGCTAGACCCAGCAATGCGTCGAGAATGAAAGCATGTGTCGGTGTTTCTGATACCAGGCGCGTACGAGGTAGAGGACCCCAACCATGCATCAATGTTTGAGGGACAAATAGAGAGGGTCTCGACGATAGTTGTGGTGCGGTGAATGGCGGAGTAGAAGGTGTCGACGTAGCCTGCAGTTGTCAAAGTAGATAAAGTAGGTGGAGAAGAGATGGTGGCGTTGAAGACATGGTTGTGCTGGATGAAGAAGAAGCTTTGTAGAGGGGGACGCACCTAACTCAAAGAGGAGTAGTCCGAACGGACACGCCTGCCCAATAGCAGTGGTCCGAACGCAAGGTACAACAGTGGCGGTTAGCACTCGATGTTGGTGATGGAGAACTCGAATAGCATGGCGAAGACTTTGTGCAAACGTATGGTGCAGCAAAGATTGCGTAGCACAGCCGTCGATGCACAGGGGATGGTGATGTAGATGCAATGGTGAAGCAAACACACGGGCGGCGGTGCTAAGTCCCGATGAGGCAACACGGTAGCAGCCCTTTTGCTCAGAGAAGAGGCATGTAGTACCCGGTGATGGACGTCTTGGGAGCCAGGTGGATCGCGCACAATCTGTTGTATGGACCTAGTATACTCGAGGAGAAGCGATGATGGAAGAAGTCGGTGGAGGCATCCCAATCTGAATCTATGGTGGCGATGATGAACCGATGGTGTATATGCGAATGGGATGACCGAGAAGCGACGCAGGAAGGCGTGCCCTCGGCATCTCATACCCGGCCAGAGGCCGCACAGTCGAAGATGTAGATGCTGGTGTAGTCGATGCCAATGTGGTACGCGCGAGGTCGACGAGTGGTGGGTGACTCAATCCTGATTAGTGATCGGGTAAACAAAAAACGCTACAAGCAGCAACAGATAAGAACCGGTGATGACAGAGGGCGATGAGGCAGGCTTGGCGATAGTGCGGCCTGGAGCGGCTCATCCCGAGCGGTGGTGCGAGCTGCAAGAGTCAGACGAGGAGGGGTGGCGTGGGGTGCACTGTAGGAACAAAGCAGCGGCATCGTTGAGACATCAGACAGATGCCAGGGCGATGGCGATGACGGCAGCGGCGGTAGGTTGTGTGAGGAGGGCGCAGATTGTCCTGCCGCCACCATGGCGGCTTCGTGTAGGGTCGTCCTGGCCTCGGCCACCACCACGACAGCGCAGGATGGGGTGACGCCTAGTGTCCTCCACATCGAGCATGGAGAGGGCGATGAGGAGATATGACATCACGAGAAGGCCCGTTATGCTGCTTGACGATGACTAGGGTGGCAACGGGATCAATAGAATCTAGCCTAAAGGGGTGGCGCTGCCACCGACGGAGATTGCTCTCCCAGGGGGCGTGTGATGTGGAAGCTAGCGGCGGCTAGGGTTAGGATCTAAACCTAGGTTCGTGATACCATGCAAGAGAATAGGATTGTTGGGATAATTGTTGTAAGGCATTGGGCCTCATGGGCTGATTATATAGAGTGCATAGGAGTAACCCCCATATGGATAGACAATGTGATACTATTTATATTTACTCTAACAAAAACCCTGATCACTACCAAAATTGTCTAGTAGAGGATAATCGATGGTGTGGGGGAGGCCTATCACTGTCGGTTTTCGAACTAGAAATAATGGGAAGGGGGTTTGGAACAAAATCTCGCTGCTGGCATGGAAATAATAACGATGGCACAAATACTATGCTTATCCGTGCCAGAAGTAATTGATCAATAATGAAATATGCCCTCATGTCACTGGTACTCCCTCTGTACCATGTTATAAGACGTCTAAATTGCTTTTGTTATATATCTAGATATAATAATGTATATCCAAGTGCATAGAAAAAAAACAATGTCCCTAGAAAAGCCTAACGTCTTTTAATTTGGAATGGAGGGAGTAGCATGTAAAAAATCCTTATATTTTTAGATTGGTGGAGTAATAATCCATTACAAAGTTCACATTAGAACCAATAAACAAATTTAAATATAGATTAGCAGATATAATAAATGAATACCTGTTCTTGTGCAAAGGCATGGTAGTCAATTAGGACATTTGGCATGTCACTTTTTAGCTGATATGACAAAATATAATAAAGGTATAGCTGCTTCGGTTTAGACCGATCTTTCAAAATAGCTTTCTTTACATATATGGCATATATATAGTGTACACTTATTTTTCTTGAAAAAGTGAGCAAGATAAGCACATCATTTCGGTTTCCCTGATACATGTAATAAACGCCAGAAGGATGAATATATGAAGCCAAAACCGATCGGATCAGCCATATGGCATGCCTTCCGATCCGATCCCACTTTGTTTCTGTGCGTGCATGCGTGCACTACTGTGTTCCTGTGTATGTGCGTGTTGTGGAGGTTACATCTTTGTACGTGTGCACCTGGTCTAAGCTTCATTCATTCATCACTGCAACCGCAATTATCAGGTGGCGTCTACTTAATTGGCGGTTTGAAAGGTGGTAACGTACACAAGCTGGATGAGATGATAGATTAACAAGCACCGCCACGTCTTTAAACCGCTCCTTTTGGTCCCAAATGCTGTGTCTCACATACCTTTCCTACATCACTTTATTGTGATAAAGCAAAAGTGACAGGGAGAAGGAAAATAAAGAAAAAAAATATAATTGTGTGTGTATAACATACAAAAGAAGAATGAGAGAGAGAGGAGGGGGTGTGTAGAGAGAGAGAAAGGGGCTGGAGGAAAGCAAGGGAAAGTTCACAAATAAAGGAGTGAAGCAAAAGGAAGCGGAAAACAAAACAAAACAAAGCCCAGATTCCTCTCCGAACAGCGCCTATGCTTTTTTATTCAGCTCCTCTCTCACCTCTTCTTCTGTTTGGTATTGTTGCTGTTCCCTTCTTTCTCTCTCCCTCTCCCTCTCTACAGGAGGAGGAAGATATATGCCCAGCCCATCTCCCTCAAGGAAATTGCGACGAGCGACGCTGGCCCCTTTAAGATTGACCTGAGACTACTTCCACACCAAGAGTGTAAGAGGAGAGAGCCTGGCAAGGAAGAGATAGCAAGCTAGCTAGCATTTGTTGAAGCAAGAGAGCTCATCTCTAGCTCTCATCTCTCTCTAGCGCGCGGCCGGTGATGAACAGAGGAGAATTCCAGACCTCCCTTGTCCAGCAGATGATCTGGAGCGGTACTGGCGGTGGCGGTAGTACCACCGCCAGCAGCAATATCATGAGCAGCTTCAAGTCTTGCCATGAGGATCAAGAGTCCTCCCCCAACCTGCCCTCCTTGTCGTCTCCATCGGTGCTCTTCTCCCAGCAGTTTCTGCACGCCGGTACCTCTTCAGGCCAGCTAGGTCATATGAACGGTGGCGCAGCTGGTTCTCTTCCAAATCTGCATGACGGCGGCAGCGGTCAAGAGAACCACATGCCGGAATCATGGAGCCAGATGCTTCTGTAAACACCTATCTCTCTCTTATTTGTCTATCTCTCTCTTGAATCTCTTCCCCTCCCCGGCGGCCCTCATTCGTTCTTTACTGGTTAAATCTTTAAGATTTATTCATGTAACAGATCCACAATTACAAACCTCCACAATCCATGTAAAAATCAGTTCTCCCTATACTTAACAGTAGCTCTAGGTGAAGGAATAAAGTGGTTAACCCACTTTGTCCTATAGCGGATCAAGCCTTTCCCAGTGTTAATCTACCTTCCTGTCTCTAATCATCTTGTTCATGTTCATTTTACTCTGATGCTAACTTGCAGTTGTTCTTATCTCCATGGACTCATCTGTCTGTACTCATCTATAACTACATGTGCAGAGGGGGGTTAGTTGGAGGAGACCATGAGCGATACAGCGCCACCACCGCAGCTCTCCTGTCAAAGGGCATAGAGAATTGGGGGGATCACGCTGCAACTGCAAGTGCATGCATGGTGGGTGGTGGTATGAAGGAGGAGGGCTCAGCCATGCCTCAACCTCCATACAACTTCTATGGGAGCCACAGCCACCTCGCTGGTGGTGACCATGAGATGCCAGCGCCAGGAGGGGCCAGCAAGTCTCAGCTAAGCCAGATGCTCCTGGCCTCGTCTCCTAGGTCTTGCATCACCACCAGCCTCGGCAGCAACATCCTCGACTTCTCAAACAGCGCGCCAACGCCGGAGCTAAAGAACCACCATCATAACTCTGATAACTCATCTGAGGTGAGATGAGGTACCTTGATATATAATCCGTGAAAGTTATTTGTTGCTACTTCGTAGTAGGCTGCTTTCCGATTTGTTCTTTCCAAATCACTTTGTTGTTTCCACATTATTTTTTTAGTTAAGGGAACCAGTCTCTACCATCCGCAGATGGTACACAGCTGATTTTTTTTCACATTATTAATTTACTCTCTTTATTCTTTCCACAAAGAAGAAACTTAATTTGTCAAAGAATTAATGGACTTGGTTCATGCATATGGAAGACATGTAGTTAGATGCACATTAATTATTTAAGCTCCGATCGACATGGAATGAATTCGTTTTGCCTACTTTATTACACAATGTTTCATCTTGATCACCCTCGGGAAGAGATGGTACTTTCAAAAGGCACTCCATTCATCTTAGTTTGAGATGGAAAGATATACCATGATTATGTTCTCTCATCGATAACCGACTAAGATGTGGGGCGGGGCTATGCTGTCAATAAGATCTCTTGGTGAGGGTGCATTCTATCTTCCATTAACTGAAACAAACTGAAGGCAATAGTACTATTCTTCTTTTCATGAAAAGATGCTTTATTTGCTAGTAGTACAGATATGCATGTTTCCATGTCATATGCAAATCCACTTTAGTGAACCAAGGTGAGAGGTTGTATTTTCGTGCACGCTGTTTCATAATCTCTTGGTCAGAGTGTTACGGCATGCACCCATTGAAAGGGCTACCTCTTTTGGTTACTACCTATTTACTACCCCCCCAAAAAAAAAAAACACCAGCACCCACACACACACACCAAAAAAATGCAATTATAGGTTTGGTTAAAGTAAACAGTATACAAATTTACGATTTCAAATAGGTATACTGTGCAAATATATTCCATGATAAATCTCATTAAGGGTGCCTATTGATATCAGAATATTGGTGTGCTTCTTTATAGTTTTGGGAAAAATGCAATTCTAGGTTTGGTCAAAGTGAAGATGGTTTGACTTAATACTGTAGTTAGAATTACAATCTTCCCTATACAGATTGAGCACATTTCTTGACCAACTGTTTTATTTATATGGTCCTGGTACATGATCCATAGCTTGCCAGTATTGAGAGGTAGAACCATTGGGAATGAATAATTCACTTTATGAAGAGTTAGTGTGTTGTTTTCATGGGACAGGTTGAAATGGGATCATGATTGTTCTTGCTTTGTTTCTTTGTCTTTCTCTGCCACTAGTGCAACAGCACTGAAACAGGTTCAGCCAACAAGAAGCCTAGGGTTCAGGCCTCCTCTTCAGCACAATCTACTCTAAAGGTTTCTTCTTCATCTCACTGCTTTCCATAACCTCAACTCGGCCTATCTTTTGTGTGCATCTCTCTCTCTCTCTCTCTCTCTCTCTCTCTCTCATATTCTGGAAATTCGTGCGGCAAGTACACTGAGAAATTGACATATGATATAATAGTGATAGCTTATACCATTGTTAGGAATAATTACATGCATCCTATTAACTTATTAACTTACTTATGACTGTGACCACTTATGGTTTGTTGCAGGTGAGGAAGGAGAGATTGGGTGATAGAATAACTGCTCTTCACCAGATTGTTTCCCCGTTTGGCAAGGTTAGAACAAAAAAATATACACAACATAACATGGATCGATTGATTATATATGTACAGAGCCAGCAGCAGCTTGTGACTAGTATTAGGGCAGGCTAGAAAAGAAAGATACGGTAGATCAGTCGTCGCGGATCTGAGTGCATGTGTTTCCTCGCTCCGATCCGGTCCACAGTAGATAGATGGGTAATATATACATACAGGTGACGACGATGCATGCTGTGTTGCAGTTGTCTATAGTTGTTGCCAAGCATCTGCTTTAACTTGTTTTGCTCCTGCTTTCACTCGAGGGGTTGTGTCCAACTAAAGCATTTCCCTGACACGTGCCTCTTTTTTACAGACTGACACGGCGTCTGTACTCCAAGAGACCATTGGCTATATCAGATTCCTCCTGGGTCAAATTGAGGTCCAATCTCCCTCTCCCTCTCTCTCTCTCTCTCATCGTGTGCTTTGTGTATGTTGGAAAGGAAAAAATTCATAAGTCATGGTCATATAGCTAGCTAGGACCATCAGAAGCATATATACAGTATGGGTGGTGAACAAAGAACAATGTGGCCCTCACCCTCGGCCCTCCCCACCGGCCAGTTTCAAGATGTTTCTACCTTAAGCAATCAGCACAGTAAAAAAACTAAACCCTTCTTGTTGTCACTGCTTATATAACTGACCCCACAAGCCACAACGCTGTCCATCCCGGCCCACATGCCAGTGGAGCAGCAATAGCAGCTAGCAGGTGTTACCGCATGGGATTGGGAGGTAGGGGAAAAAAAGCTGGGTGCGCGGGAAACAAAAAGAGAATATGCATGGGGAAGGTAGGGACGGGTGCAAGAGCACGCTGTTAAAGTTGATCGCTTTGCATGGGCGCGCGCGCGCACGCAGAATCAGCAACTGCAGCGAGATGGATCAACCGATACGCTGCTGTCTTGTAGCGTCTTGTGTTTCAGGGACTGCACTGGACTATATATGCATGCATGCTCTCTCTCTCTCTCTCTCTCTCTCTCTCTCTCTCTCTGTCGCTCTCATGAGTCATGACCAGTGTGGTTTTTTCTTCTGTGACAGGCTCTCAGCTACCCCTACATGGGCCACGGCAATGGGACCTCCATTCAAAATGTATGTTGCATGCATCTCTCTCTCCCTCTCACACACACGCACACGCACCCACGCACACGAGCGCACGCTGGAAGGAATCTTACGTGCGAGGTTAACAATATGCCAATCCACGTGCGTTCGTATTGTGAAATTGTTAGCCGGTCTAGACTTTGACACACTTTGTATGTAGGGAGGACGATAGCGCCTTAGCAAAACCTTTAGCAAAGGTCGCCCAAAAATATACTTTGTCAAAGGCATTCTAATTAAAGAAGCCTTTTACCAAGGCTTCAGTAGAACTGATCCTTTTGTTAACCTTTGTCAAAAAGGACTTTAGACCTTTTAGGCTCTTTATTATGTGTGCGAGGTAATAGAACAAAAAATGATTTTTTCCACAACAAACAGTAAACATAAATGAGAAGTTCTGCGAGTTTGTGTTCGCTGTAAATAAAACTATGATTAATATATTGCAATATTAACTCCTTGATAAATACGTGTCTGTGTTAGATTATTGACTGCATGTAATAAAAGCTCACGTGTCCTCAACAGTGGAATGTACTAAGCCGATTAACAAATAACAAAGTTGCAATAAAACATGCATAAAACTAAAGTAACTTTTAAGCTTGTTTGAATTTCTATTTTTCTCTGAAATATACACACAATAGTCTTTACAAAACTGATGTTAACAAACAACCACCACGCTATGCAATATATAAGAATTTATGGTCTAAATATTTCTATGGTTCAAATATGTATGAGAATTATGTGTTGTCGTCTCGCTATAAAACATATATGTTTATACTAATTTTGGAGGAACTAACAATGATAAATATTTACCTTAACTTTTATTCAAAGCTGGATTTGTAATTTTAATTAGTTTACTAATTTCTTGAACAAAAGTGGGTGTGTTACTTGAAGAACACTGAAAATTTTATGAATGGTTATAGAATGGAAAATGATGCAATATTAGTTATCTGAATTGTGTACTTACGAACAGAGTTTCTAAAGTTATTGATATAGTGTTTTGTTATTCCATTAAAAGTACTTATGATGTGAGTTGACTATGAGAAAATAGGTGCTATGAAATAAAGGCCCATATATATGACAATTGACACCTAAACCAATGTCATGCTTTTTTTCAAGTAAGAAAAGATTGATCATATATATCTGAATTTCTTTGACATTCATTCGTAGGTTTAGTTCTACAAATATTATTTTGTAGGACTTTATATTCCTTCAAACAATAATCATGCAGGGTCGCTTAGACCATTTAAACGGCGTTTAGTATGAATATACTAAACACACAACATGTCACCGACTGTTTAGTGTTTTGTTAGACATTGTAGATTTGTGGAATTTGTAACTGATTTCACATTATTAGAGCATACAATGAACTTAGTCTAGGGGTACAAGCAAGTCCATAATCATTTGAGGAATTTGAAGCCACGTTATCATTATGAAAAAGCTAATTATTTTACATATGCACTAGAAAAACTAATCATTATATTGTTCGTGATGTTGCCTATCCCATAAGAAAAAGCTTCATACATCACTATGGAAAAAATATCGTACCAATGAAAAATGTACCTTTTCCTTATTTTACTTATTAACTTAACATATAGAGAGTTATCTAAAAAAACTTAACATATAGAGCATCACCACAAAGCCATATTTCAAATCATTAGGTTTGGATTTATCTCACTAATGAAGGGCATGTTTGGGTATCACTGGCTAACTGCTAGCAGCTAAAATTTTGTCGGTGAGGTATCCAAATGGGTATACACTAAAAGTGTGGCTAAAAAATAGCCAGTACGCTAACTGTTAGCTAGCCAATAGGAGCTAAATGGGCTAAGCGATGGGAAAGTCACACTTTGTCCTCCAACCTATCCTATCCACATTCTCTCTCCTTGCTTGTATACCACACACACGTCGTCACTGCCGCGGCCCCGGCCTCCGTGACCACGACGGCATTGAGAGAGATCTGCGTGTGTGGAAGGAGTGAGAGCGCCGGCTGAATGGATGCTAGACTAGGAGGGAGAGAAGTGAGTGAGGGAGGGGAATGGGTACGATGGGAGAGAGGGGCAAAATCTGCAAGCTCCATAACTTTTCTTTTAACGAACGGGGACAGACAAGTTAGTGATACTTGGAGATTCCATAACTAGCAAAGAAGGAGAATACAAGTTAGTGATACTTGGAGATTCCATACAGGAAGAAAAGAAGTAACTGCACTGATATGGCCATAATAACAAGCTTGTTTCAGCTTGCACAACCCTAGGTCAGCTTGCATTTCATGCGTTTTGAGACAACCATGGGCCAGTACTCCTCATGGGTTCAATCATATTTATCCCATCTGGGAGATTATTCTCTCCGGCTTTTCTCGCACGCTTGTACGTGCAACGTTGACAACTTGACATGTGACACAGTGCTTTCTTTTTCATTATTCATTTTTATAGGGACCAATTGGAGAAAGGAACCCTGCAGGGCTCTTCCCAGAATACCCCGGCCAGGTAACCTAGAAACCCCTGTGATTGCACATGATTCCTGATGTAAGAATATAGCCCTTTACAGCCCTGCTTAAACCACCTTTCATTCATATACATCTTTTGCGTCTGGTTCCTTGTGCAGTTGCTAAACCATAATAACAACACTGGAGCACAGCAGCCTGCAGTCCAGCCTGATGAGCAGCAGGTATTCAAGCCTACTTTGCTTTGCTTCCAAGTCATTTTCAATCATCTGCATACACGAGTACATATATATACCTAGGGTGGTGCTATATATATGTACGTACTATTTTCTACATAAAAACAAATAACACAATGATCATGCGCATTTTTTTCCCCAAGGGCATGCAGCTCTCAACACATTTTACTTCAACATTGGTAGATTTTTTTTCCCATTTACTACTATGTTAGGAATAATCTGAAGAAATATAATACCTGATCACTTGATATATATACATATATTCGTCAAGGGTGTGAATGACGAGACGAAGAAGGACTTGAGGAGCCGGGGGCTGTGCCTCGTCCCGGTGTCATGTACATCGCACTTTGGAGGGGACAACGCCGCAGACTACTGGGCCCCGGCGCCGCTCGGTGGGATCCTCCGCTAGAGCATTCACCACCACTGAAGCATGCATGCATGGTCATCTAGATGTGGCGAGCGCTGCTGTTCGTTTCGTGCAAGTATATGTTCATGAGGCCACAGGTAGATAGCTCTAAGAATCATCACAAGGGTGGTGCATGGTTGCTGGGAAACATAACATCATGAGCAGTCATTCTGGTAAGGGAGAAGGATACCTGCTGTAAGGCTGATTGCTCTTGATGCTATGCGAGTAGTATGACCTTTTGGGGGCGCAAAGCTTCATCTGTATCTGCAAGGGAGGGCTTCAAGAAGAAGATCTAGATCGTCTTCTCTGGTCCCTCAGCAAATTTATTTCGTTGATATGTAATTAAAATCTAGCAAGTTATTAGTGAACATCTTTACTCATATATATACCGTGCAATGCTGCTCGTACAAGTTGGCCAGGACAGGAGAGCAAGTCACGGGGTGCCGTCTTCTTGGTTTATGCGCCGCCGGGTGTACTTAGAGAAGTTCATATCAGATATGTATATGACAAGTAAATTTGTATCCTTTTAACTGAGTTAAATCATCAATATTTTTTATTGCATTCCTGTCAGCTCGCCACCTAACAACCCTTAGCTTTTTCCCCAATCTCACCATCTGCGCCGCTTCCTGTTGTGACTGCAGGAGGATGTTAGAAGTATATTAGGTTATCTCTGGATATGGTAGATTAGAATCATATAATCACAACTTACCTTATCTCCACTACTACAAAACACATCTTGATGAGAGGCGGTCAAAAAGCTTTTACAGAGGTGGTCACAGAGTCTGCCTCTAGCAAAGTGCAACTATTAATCACAATAAGTAGAGGCAGGAGGTTAAAGTGTCCACCTTTGTTAATCATAAAATTAAAAATGCCCATCGTGGCTGGATCATAAGCCCACTGTGGCTCAATGCTGAGCCCACCATATCAAGCCCATCGTGGATTCGACCTATGTGAGACCTTGGAAATATGCCCAAGTCAATATGGGCCTATCCAGCCCATGTGGCCTAATTAGCATATCGTTTTATATATACGCTAATCACCGGCCAAAGGAGAATTAACCCTAATTACCCCAGCCACCAGAGAGCCACGCCGCCGCTCCTGTGCCTTGTGCACGCCGCCGATACTGCTGCCGCTGTCCAGCGCAGCGTTGAGTGCTAGCACACTCAGTTGTGCCGTTCTTCTCTCCGTACGTGTGGAAGTCCATAAAGATGCTACTGTGTTGCGCACTACGTCGTATGGTATGACTACTTCCTCGATGTCGACTACATCGACTACGCGTGTTTCGCCAAGTCTTCCGCTACGTCGGGAAGGTATAATATATGATCATCTACACGCAAGTGATCCTGTTTTTACGCAGTAATTTATTTGTGCTATTGAGTAGCCATCCGTGTAATATCCTAACAGTGGTATCTAGAGCCATGCTTGCATTGTTTTTTATCTAGATTATTTTAATGTTGTTGGCTGTAGAATAGATCGTTTTAACGGATAGCATTATGCGTGTATCGGATTGTTTTACTCAGTTTTTGCTTTCTCATTATGTGATTGGCTAATCAACCGTCTTAACGACAGCGCGCGAGCGTCGCGCGGCTAAGCGCGAGGTTGTGAATTTGTGTAGCGAAGCAGTTGATACACAGTTGTATGGCTATTCTAGCTAGAACTCCATGCTTGTTAATTTGTAGCAGCATGCGAAATATCTGTTTTATCCGTCATCGGCTGGCGGAGCCAACTACGTGTTAAAAAAAAACCGTAACATCGTTCGTAGAAACATCTAACTCATTTTTGCAGAGAATGATATGATGGTATGGCCTTAAAATCATATGTGATGATCTGTGTGTAATATTTGATGCTGCCTGTATATCGCTATTTATTACAGCTAGGTTGAGGTTGTTCGTTTATTGTATTCAGCATATCCTGTGGAGTGCTCATGTGATGTAAGTTATATTTTAATTTGCTATTAGCATGTAATAGGCAAATTAAAGTCTGTAATTTATCGACATGAGGCAAGGTGACTCAGCGACCACACCGTCGAGAAGAGAGCGCTGAAATTGGGATGCCTAGGAGTAGGCACCCTCACCCGTTGCTGGCGGTCGTCTGGACGTGCTATTTTTCGTTGGACGAAGAGAGGCCATACTATCACAATAATTTGATTATCTATGACATTTATATTTATACATTGTCTGTGATGAGTATAAAAATCCCTCATAAAAATTAAGTTTTTATGCCCCTCCAATAGCTGCACCTTTTGGGTCTTGTTAGTAGGTGATGGGTCTGCCAAAGCAGGGCGTCATCTTCTACCTTGATCTATTGGGTGGTGTCGGACACCACAACATAGTGTTGGTTTACTTGACGAAACTATCAAGTCAGACTTGAGTTTCATGGCATAGCGTTGGAAGCCGAGATATATGATATCAACCAACGAACGAGAGTCGCATTGGATGCGATTGGCAAGCGTTGCCTACTCACACTAATACAGAGACGGGCTTTACTCCCGGTGGGGAACCCCCTCTAGTCTTGGTTCCCCACCCGGGAGCAAGCATCCGGGACTAAAGGGGGTTCTTTAGTCCCGGATCAGGAACCGGGACTAAAGGGGGACCTTTAGTCCCGGTGGGTAACACCAACCGGAACTAAAGGTCCTCCCAGCTTTAAAAAAATAATGCCTCCCACCGCTGCGTCCCGTGAGATTCGAACCCAAAACCTCATGCATTGCCTCGCGCGTAGCTTACCACCCCACCTACACAACACATCTAACAATGGATGGGATGCTTTCCTTTTGAACTAACCCATCGGGGGACCTTTAGTCCCGGTTGGTGTTACCAACCGGGACTAAAGGGTCATTTAGTCCGGGTTGGTGTTACCAACCGGGACTAAAGAGTGTACCTTTAGTCCCGGTTGGTGTTGGACTAAAGGGTCTACCTTTAGTCCCTGTTGGTGTTACCAACCGGGACTAAAGGTTGGAGGACTTTTAGTCCCGGTTGGTGGCTCCAACCGGGAGTAAAGGTCCACCTTTAGTCCCGGTTGGTGTCTCCAACCAGGACTAAAGGTTCCCTGCCACTGTGCCGAGCGTAGTAGCCGTTGGGCAGGGACCTTTAGTCCCGGTTGGAGACACCAACCAGGACTAAAGGTCTCTCTAGTCCCGGGCGTAAAAAATGCCGGGACTAGAGCCCATTTTGGCCTCGGATGAAAGGTCTGTTCTCTACTAGTGTCAGTTCACTATGATGCTAGCCGTGATGCCAAAGCTCACTAGTTCCATAGGGAACGTGGGATCTCGTCGTCCCACTATGCAATGTCGGGTGACATTCACAAAACATAGTGGGGTTTCTTTTATTAAAAGTGTTTTAGTGAAAGTAGTGCTAACTGTTACATATCCCTGTTATTGTAGAAAATGTCGAGAAACTCGAGTTTTAAATTACGATCGATTCTAGAGAAAGTAAAGCTAAATGGAACTAATTTTGTTGGTTGGAACCAAAACCTGAGTATTGTTCTCAGGCAAGAAAAGAAAGAGTACGTTCTTGATACGTCTTTCCCGGATGAGCCTTAGAATGTCGCGCACAATTCTAATGCGTGTTGTGCTTATGTGAAGCACACTGATGATGCTGTGGATGTGCAGTGCCTGATGCTTGCTTGCATGAACTGAGCTACAGAAGCAATATGAGAGCACCAACTCGCACGATATGATCATGGGGCTGTGTGGCATGTTTGAAAACTAGGCAAGGGTTGACAGGTTTAACACCTCGAAGGCCCTATTTGGTAGCAAGCTTGCTGAAGGCGCTCCGATCGGCCCTCATGTAATCAAAATGATTGGTTACATTGAGAGCTTGCAGAGACTGGGTTTTCCCCTTGATGATGATCTCGCCATCGATGTGATACTGCAGTCTCTGCCAGATAGATTTGAGCCATTTATTATGAACAATCACATGATTGGCTTGAAGAAGACGCTGACCGAGTTGCATGGGATGCTGAAGATGGTAGAGATGAGCCTTAGGAAGCCTCCTGGTCATGTGATGACAGTCCAGAAGGGTAAGAAGTGAAAGCGTCCAGCCAAGGCTAAAAAACCTACCGAAAGTGAGACTTCTAGGCAGGCAACTAAGGTAAAAGAAAAGAATAAAAAGGCTGGCCCCTCCTCTGATGATGTTCCTTTCCACTGCGATGTGAAAGGACAATGGTCGTGGAATTGCAAAAAGTACCTAAAAGAGAAGAAAAAGAATGGAGGTGCGACCTCCACTCAAGGTATTAATGTTATTGAAATTAATCTTGATACTGGTGCAATGATTCACAGTTGCAAATCGTTGCAGGGACTAAAAATGATTAGGCGTTTTGCAAGAGACGACGTGGATTTGTGTGTCAGGAATGGAGCAAAGTTTGTTGCGTTGGCCGTCAGCACTTATTCATTGTCCCTACCTTCTGGATTAGTGCTAGAACATAGTAATTGTTATTTTGTTCCTGCATTGAATAAGAACATTATTTCTGTCTCATGTTTAGAGGATGATGGTTTTGAATTTGTAATAAAGAACAAGTGTTGTTCTATTTTTATGAATGGCATGTACTATGGGAGATGTCCCGTTGTAAACAGGCTTTATGTTCTTAATCTTGAGGAAACTGAAATCAATAATGTTAATGCTAAGAGAGTTTGCAAACATGATTCTAATCCTACTTGTGGCATTGTTGCTTAGGCCATATAGGAAAGAAGCGCATAGAGAGGCTCCATAAGGATGGTCTTCTTGATTCTTTTGATTATGAATCGATTGAGACATATGAGTCATGCCTACTTGGAAAGATAACTAAAGCTCCTTTTGTTGGACAAAGTGAGAGAGCAAGCGAGCTATTAGGCCTAGTACATACAGATGTATGTGGGCCAATGAACTCAACCACGAGAGGTGGCTTTCACTACTTTATTAACTTTACCGATGACTTGAGTATATACGGCTATATCTATTTGATGAGGAACAAGGCAGAATCCTTTGAAAAGTTCAGAGTTCCAAAATGAACTGCAGAATCATACTAGCAAGACAATTAAATTCATGCAATTGGATCGTGGTGGGGAATATTTGAGCCGTGAGTTTAGTGACCATCTAAAGAATTGTGGAATTGTTCCACAACTGACTCCACCCAGAACGCCACAATGGAATGGTGTGTGCGAGCGGAGAAACCGAACCTTGTTGGACATGGTGAGGTCAATGATGAGTCAAACTGATCTTCCATTGTACTTTGGGGGTATGTGCTAGAGATAGCTGCATTTACACTAAATTGTGTACCATCTAAATCTATGGAGAAGACATTGTAACACCCTCAGTGTTATGCCCCAAACAAACTACTAAATCATATCATGAGCATCATGTTTATGTGACAATGTATGTGATGGAATGTGTAGATAACATTTTTGTAACTTCAGATGATCAATAAAAATGTTAAATAATAAGATATTCCATAAGTCATATGTATCAATTACGGTTTAAAATTAATTTTTATTGAACAAAAATGATATAGAACATATATGTGGTGCTAAATAAAGTTTGGAATATGAACTTTGTAGATGACAATGAAATACTTGCCCTGGAAAAATAACAGTGCTAGCCAACATTTCTAATATCCTAGAAAAGCAATTTAGAATCAAGTTCAGCTCAAAAATTTGGAATATTTTCAAGTATGTTGACAGCTAGACAATGCAATGTTTGGCGATTTATTTTGTGAAATCGATTTAGGAGGTGGTGTCGTGTTTTAGCTCGGGTTGGTAGCCTCATATCCCCTCTGGAGCATGGTGAAGATGGTTTAGGTTCCAGAGCAACCGTTTAGTTTTTATAGGTGCTTTAAAATTCGTGCAAGACGTGATTTTAGGCTAGTTCACTGGGTGAGCGCGGTCACCATGTCTCGGGGGCACGACGCTGCCATGCCTACTCGTTCTGTGTGTGCACACGCGCTGTCTCGTGTGTCCGGCTACAACTACCGTGGCCTGGCCGCCACTGGCTTTGTCGTGTGGAGCCGCTGCTGCTGCTCGCATGGCGCAATGACGCAGCTGCTGCCGGTGCCGTCGCCTCGCCGTCATGTTCGTGCCTCCCTCTGCACCTCTGCGCTGCTGTCGGCCCAGTTCAATGCCGCCACTACCACGCGCACGTGGTTGAGCTCACTGTTGCCTTGTCATTTATGGCACTGCGGCCGCACGGCTATGCTGGTCGTGGACACACATGCTTGTCCATTGCGTCTGCGCATGTGTCGCACCTAGATCACGCCGGCCACGTCCCACCAAGGTGAGACCGAGATGAGCCCATTTGCCGCCTCGTCTCTCTCTCTCCCTTTGTTGCCGTCGTCAAGCCGCGCCATCCAATTGGCCACCGAGTAATCACTTTCATTTAATTCAGCACATCTGTGGCTTCACCATCAAGTTCTCTCACTTCCTGACCCCACCCAGCCATGAAGAAGGCATTGCCAAGCTCTAATTTGGTGCTTTTTCCCACCGCTGTGCCGATAAGGCCACGTCCAACCATGGACGAGTGTAGCCCTCCGACCGTCCCTCTCGAGCCAATTCATCTTCACCACTAGCTTTGCCTTGCGTCCCTCTCCACCTTGCGCATGCCAGTGGAACCTCTACCGCCTCCTCATCACCGCTGACATGACCGCGCCACCGCAGTGCACCGCCGCATGGCTTGGTCGCACGTGGCCACACCTCCTCCACCATCCTCCACCCCAACAGTCACCTCGGCTAGGTCCATGGTAGTCTACTGATGCTTCCTCGCTAACTAGTTAGGTTCTTAGGTGCTTGGGTTCGCTTGGGTAGCCGTGCCACCATCGCGGACGGCTGCGTGTCGCTGCAGCTCGCTCCAGCAGGTCTCGCCGCCTCACGATGCTGCTTGGTGTAGGCGGTTGGACCATAGTGGAAGGTTGGCCTAACTGACGGGCCAGCGCGAGCCTCTGGTGGACGATGCGGTCGTGTTGTGTAGCCGTTCGCCGTGCCGCCATGCACTGAGCCGCCAGGGGTGCGCGTGGGTGAATTAGGGAAAGGACGTGGGTTAAGTGAGAAGGTCTGAGAGAGGGGTAAATAGTGTTAGCACTTAGTTATGAGTTGGGAGAACTGCGAGGCCTCTTTTGCAAAAGCGCCAACGTGCGAGGGACTCCCCCACCGCGGGACGCCTCACGAGCGGGCCAGCCTCACGTGGGCCGTGCTAGTGGGCCGCTGCGCGCTCGCTGGGTCACGCGGGAGATTCGCTTTTTGTTTTCCTAAGGAATTAGAAATAGTTTTCTAATTTAATTTCTGAGCTGATCTTTGGTAATTAAAATAAAATCATGTAAGTGTCCAAAAATTATGAAACGAATTTTGTTAGGTTCCTAAAATTGTGCTCTATTTGTTGATGTATTTACTTCATGTTTATATGTGTTGACATTAGGAGCTATTAAATCATTTGAGAATGCTTAATAATATTAAGTTAATTATTATAGGAATTTTTGTGGTGAATTGATGATAGTTTTGATCCTGAAATTTTTACAGCAGTTTCATTGTATTATTATGTGCTCACTGTAATTTTTGTAGCTTTAGAATAGACTAAGCATTAGGATAGTTAAATGCTCTTTTTTCAATATACATTAAATCACTAGTAGAAATAAAGATATATCCTTAAATTGCCAAGCTAAGGGTTTGTTAGTTGAACCCAACACTTTGCTTGATGAAAATGATAGTTAGCTTAGTATCTTAGTTGTTAGAGCTATCTTAGTAGCTTAGTATGCGTATTCTTATTTTAAGAGTTGTTGTTGCCTAAATGCTAAGTGTTGCATCATCATCGCATGCGCGTAGAGAATGAGTTGGCTGAGATCGTGACCACCGGCAATCATGAGTTCGAGGAGATCATCGAGGAATATGAGGAGGAGATTCTTGTACAGGAGGAGGTCCTAGAGCAGCCACTAACTGACTCAGCTGACACCACGCATGCCCAAGGCAAGCCTCGGTGCATAACCTCTATTTTATAATTCACCATATATATCTGTGTTGTGCATTTACATTATATGAATTTTATGGAAACCACATGCATAGATATACCTATCCTAAGAGTCTTACTAGTGCAGGTTCGAATAGACGTGTAACACCCTAGGTTTTTAAGTGTTAAAAACTAGACATATCATCATATGCATTGCAAGGCATTGGTCATATTGCAAACTTTGATATGCATTCACTAAAACAAGTTTACATGTATGTTACAAGTATTGCTTGGTATTGTTTGAATCAAGTTGAAATCTTTGTATTGATTTGAAATTCCGAAAACCCTGATTTTCAATATTTAAATCCTACCCTGAAAATCCATTTCAAAATCGAAGCACATTTTGGGGTTGAGCCTTAAAGCAAAGTTGTAGAGCTTGTTGAGTTGTACAAAGTTTGTTTTTGGAGTTTTTCAAGTTATTTAGTAAAAATTGAAGTTATTTGAAAAGGCGAAATTCCTTAAATGTCCCCTATTTGAATTCAAAAGTTCATTTCAAAATGTAGACTGAATTAGGGTTTGGTTATAAAAGCAAAGTTGTAGAACTTTTGATTTTGAACAACTTTTATTTTTGGATATTTTTGAGTTATTATACAAATTTGGGAGTAATTTGGATTTTAAACTGGATGGCAATTCTGTCATTTCGATGAACAGTGTTCACCGCTCTTGCTACACCGCCGGCGACCTTCGGTTTGCTTCCAGGCGCGGTTGTGGTCGTCTTTGGCATCGCACTGGCGCGATGAAGGCCACAGCGCAGTTTCCTTGCGCTTCTGAGCCGCTCTATTTAGCCTTGGCCATCGCCGTTTGCCCCCGCTCTCTTGCTCTGTTTTCCCGACGCCACGGTCATAACTCTGGCGAGCTCTCACCGTCACTTTAGCGCACTCCAGCCGCTGCCAAGCTTGTCACAGTTTCGCCTGCTACTTACACACCCAACCAACCTACTTTTGTCGCTTGTCTTCACCGGAAACTCGCGGTGCGCGTTCTTCTTCCTCGCGGCCGGCAACCTCACCCACGATCCCGTTTCATCGTGGTCAGCGCGTTGCGGTGAGTCTCTATCCTTGCCGAGCCATGATTCAGTTTCGCCACGATGCCGTGGTGCTTTGTACCTTGATGCTTGATCAAATTGTCCACCATAGCCACCGGAGCGTCACCGTCGCCGTTGCTTGCTCTGCCGTGACCGCTGTGTCCATCGAACGGTGTCTCCAGTGCTCCTCCGGCCTTGTGCTCTACTCAGTCGCGTTTGGGGTGAGCTGCTGATGCTTCCTAGGCCATCTGTTTAAGCTTTACAAGTCTCACGTCGCCAGCATAGCGTAGCCGCGCTGTCGTGGCCGCCATGGCCGTCGTAGTGCTCAGTCCAGTCCGTAGCTGGTTCAGCTTGTGCCCCAAATCGATGCGCCTAGTCGAGGGTAGTGTTTTGGTACTTTGGTCCTCACCGTTGGTCTCGCCGTCGGCGAGATATCGCCGGTCAGCGCGCGTGTCGTCGAAGTCAAAGCCTGAGGTTGAAGATGACAGGTGGGGTCAGGATGTCAGTGACTGTGTAGTTCAAAAATGGATTTTTCTATTTTCTGGAATGAATGAATAGTGTCTGTTTTTGTTATTTTTGTGTAGATTTATTTAGAGCTCCAAAAATTATGAAAATTTTTGTGTGACCTCTCTGTGATGTATATTATTTAGGAAAAATATTAAATGTTGTTTTTCAATAATTTTTGAAT